ACAAGCAGAGTACAAACAACATGTAAAAACTATACTTCATATATGTATGTGCATATATGTGTGTGTGTGTGTATGCCTCCTATCCTATATCCTGCTCTTCCAAAATGGCCATGCCTCTGCTTATTTTTTCCACATAACATATTTAAAGTAGAATAGATCCTGTCTACGTATTTGTAGAGCAAACCATTAACCATAGTAGCACAGTGTGATCCATACCAAAGAAGTGTAGATGCAGCTTAGAAAAACTTCAGGCTTCAAAAATAGTGTGCTACTTGAAGCTCACTACATATTTTATATCCTTTGATTTGTGTATATGTGTGTGTGAAATTCCACATCCATTTTTTAGGGAGTTGTAACACAGAAAATTTCAACTATGTATCTTGTCATTTTATTCCCATCCTCTGTTACGGACATATCCTTTAGAAATACAATTACTTATCACTGACAGTTCTTTCTTTGAGGAAGTTGTTAGCTAGAATCGTCCCAAAACACAGGTATGCTATTTTGCAATAACAATCACTGTAGCATAATTCAAATCAGTTTTGGAATTTAATTAGCTGCACATAGTGCATTGTATGACCTTACTTCCAGTGACAACCATAATAATTCCAGAACTACATAGACAGTCTAATAAGTAATGCAAATTGTGTTAAAAAAAAAAAATTATAGAGAAGTTCTTCCATATTAGACCTCCACCAAGAATTCCCAGCACTGGACAATACTCATTGAGCCTTGCATGCATGACAGACTACCTCATCTATCTGTCTCACTCTATGCTAATCTCTGAGCAAGCTTCTTTTACACCAATGCACTCAATATCAGTGACACAGACTCCTCCCCAATGGGACTGCACCATCACCCAGCTTTCAGAGCCTAGACTGTGACACTGGAGTTTGTGGTGACAAGAAACTTGTTCTGCAAGAACCTCAGTTGCTGTTGTTGCCTGCCTTTGCTGGTAAGGCTGTCCCTTCTCCTCCTCTCCTGGGTCTGTTGATTCTTCTTCCTATGCCAGTGGACCTCAAGACATGGAGAGAAGGAAATGCCCGAGTGTGCCCTATGTCAGGGCTCTGCTTCTCTTGAGTCTCTTCTACAGTTCTTCCCTCCTGGG